AGCGTTGAAAGTGGGGGGACATCCAGGCGTAGGCTCTTGGATGATCTGTAAGAAGACATACGTGTCCAATACGAACCGCCTCAGCTGGTCGGGAAGGTTGTCCATTCGCAGTGAATTATATGGCGGCACGGGGATCCTGGGATCAGTGAGGATATCTGACAGACCCTGGGCAAGGATGGGGTCCAACTCATTGAGAACAGGGAAGTAGTAGTGGAACTCTGAAGTGTAATAGGCGATGAAGGCCCTGCCATCAAAGCCCGGTAGGCGAGGATCAGTAACAATTCTTCCTCTTCTTCCCCTTCGACCTCCTCTCCGTCCTCTTCCTCTGCCCGGCCTTTGCCGCTTGACAAGCTCATGCTGAGTGGTCTCGTGTTTAAGGGCTTCGAGAAGGGCTGCCTGGCTCGAAGCGTCAAGCTGCTTCAAAGAAGCTCTGAGCGTATCGGAAAACGAGGCTATGCTATCCACTGAGTGGTCACTCGAACTCTGAAGTGAAGCATAGAACTTCTCAATGGCATCAGTAGCAGGACTTGCGTCACGCTTCGTGTGGCCACGATGAGATCCCTTGTTAGAGTGCGCGTGTGACAGTTCCTGGCCAACCACCTTATTCACAATATCGAAGAGATCCGATGTCGCAACAGGTCCGTTGTGCTCCCTCAAGGCTAGTTCAATCTCCTCTCTTGTCTGGTTTACACCATTGTCGTTGGGAAGGAAATCGAGGCCCAATACCTGAAGAATGAGGCTGAGAAGCTCTTCGATGAGGGCCAAGGCGGCTGCCTCACTATATGGCTCAGACTCGTTTCGTGATGGAATTGTCCCGTTGATAACGGCTGCGATCCCAACGGGGAGGAGATCAACGGGTAGTTGAAGCACATCGTGACGGAAGGCGCCAAGCGAAGGTTGCTCGTCCTTGATGGTCGCTTCGGTAGGCTTGTTAGCCCCCGCGCCACGGGTGATGGCATTGATGATCGATTCCCCGATTCCGCCGAACCAGCCCTTGTCTTCACGCTTCTTTAGAGGGGAACTGGCACGGGCAGGCATGTCTTCTGGCTCAGGGGAGAGAAGTTTTGGAGATGGCGTGTCGGGAAAGACAGGTCCCGGGATAGCAGCTTCCGCGGCAGATGCATCAGGGAAAACTGGTCCTGGAATAACCGCGTTTACGAGAGATGATTCGGGAAAGACAGGCCTTGGAATAGCAGCATCAATGGAAGATGGGTCCGGGAAGTAAGGCTGGGAGGGCGCGTCAGGAAAGACAGGTTCTGGTGCAGGAATCTCCGAAAGTAAATCCGAAAGTGAATTCGAAAATGTCAGATCCGGTAGAGGTAGCCCGGAAAGTTCAGGGAGAGGAACAGCAATCTCAGGTGTTTCAGAGATGATAGACTCAATTCTGGGCTCTGCGATAGGACTTTCCGGTGTGTCTGAGATAGTTCCCGCAAAGATTAGGTCTCCTGTTGCCTCAGTAATAGGCTCAAACACGGAGCTCTCCAATGAGTCAATGTTTGGAAATTCAGGGAGCGGAGTCTCCATCGCGTCCAAGATCATGGGCCTAACAGTCGGAAGCAGACCGGGAAGCAAATCCTCAGCATATCGGTGCACGAGAACCTCATCTTCCGGCAGCATGTCTTCGATGATGTCAAGCAGTGGCTGCAGAATCTCGACGAAGGTTTCCAAGCTCACAGAATCCCCATCGGCAATAGGAGCTGGGGAGATGGTGTGGTAGGGCCAGTCTGAAGTAATGGGATCGACATAAATCTGGTCGTCGTAGATGGGATCGAGAGGAACAGTCACTGATGGTGCTGCTTCCTCTTCATCAGGCTGGACATCCGTGGGAATTAGATCGACCAAAATGTCTGTTTCCACAGGCGACAGATCTGGTTCTTCTGTTGGCGTGGCAAGCACCGCCTCACTGATATCCGTCGTTGTACTGATAACGATGGGGTAAGGTGGAGAAAGTTGCGGTAAAGACCGTACAAGTGGCAGAGACACAAGCAGCAGCTTGACAGCTGCGGTAGTGCGAGACATGCTTGCTCACGCGAAGGAAAGAGACGCGGAGCTGGGAAAGGAGAGACAAGAGGAGAGAGCAGGGATTTGGGAGACACCTCATATGTGGTGAAGGTGATGGACCGCATTCCTACCGTTGGGCGGACCGATAGCAAATGCTGTCAGTGCATTGCATTCCACTGAGCAGCCCGAGAGAGATGATAGATTGGAAAGTCACAAGTACAAAGACTCGAGGCAAGGGAAAGCAGAGTGTTGGATTTAAGATCGCGGGTGAAATCGCTCCATCGTTGCTCAGGCGGGCCAAGGTCATCGATCTGCCCTTGCAAGGATGGAAGGGCATCCTGAATCATACAGATCAAGGCCAAAAGCCGGAGAACCTAGCAAAGTGCAGCCTCTCAACCAGATCCAGCTTCCTCCAACATGGAAAAACAGAGAGGGGGCGCACGAGTCTAGACCTTCAAAACACATCATCGACGCTCGAACGTATCCAAATCTGTCAGTAGTTAGTCTAAGCGTTTTGTAAGGGAGGGGTTGGCTGTGTTTGTGGCCTCACCATTGATCATTCTGATGTACAAAACATACGGAGTCTCCTCCGAACAATGCGTCCAAGACATGCCGCCCAGCAGAGTGAAGAAGTCACACAGCGGTGATATAAGCAGGTTGCCAGAGCAGCAAGTGCCGCGTGGAAGTCTCCTGGATGCGAATTAAAGGGCTCAAGCAGTGTCGCCAAAGTGCAGAGTACGATCATCTGCGACTTCAGACAAGAGGTCGAGTTGAAGAGCGCCGGTGAAGAGAGCCGGATGGAATGAGTTTAGTCGCCGCGGCCGGCACCCATGATCCTATCTTTCTGGTTCTTCTTGGCGGGAGGCTGCTCGACAACAGTCCTCTCGCTGGAGTTAGTCGAGTCAGTCGAAGCTGCTTGTGCTAGCTGTTGCTCTTGCTGCTGCTGCTGCAGTTTCTTCTCCTGGAGCTTGCGCTGACGATTAGCCTCGTACTGCTCTACGTCCGCTTGTGTCAGCGAGATGGTGGTAGGGTCACGACGAAGCATTGTGACGGGCTTGATAATGAAAGCAGTTGTTGAATGAGTACGTATCGCAGAGCTGAGATCAGGCGAGCGTGAACGCAAGAGTGACTGGTCTGACTGCAGGCCGGATTGCTAGCAAGAACAAGCAAAGATTTTGCAGTAGATTGGAGGAGAGTAAGGCTGTTCTGTGTTGATGTCCAAAAAGAAAGAGCGCAATGGATGGAATGGAAATGAGTGATCGTGGGTCGCGGGTGGTGGTGGTGGAGGTGGTGTTGTCTTTGTTTTGTGACTTCTGTTTACATGAAAGAACAGAAAAGAAACTAGTTGACGTGATCCCGTCTGAAAGATGAGATGAATTTAACTGTTAGTACGTGATACGGCGCGTTGACCAAGGCAAACAAGCAAACGGGGGCTATTGAACAAACGGTAGTGTTGTGGTGGGGTAAGGACAGTGAAAATGCTGGGCACGTGTCGTCTCTGGCTCGGTATCTGCCCGAGTTGATTAGCCCGACCCCTGCATGCCAAGAAGTCGTGATGGTTCGAAAAGTTGGTGACCGCATCGAAGCAGCGTCACATAACAGTCCGCTATGGCTCAGCGCTACATGTGCCCGTCCATGGCCGCGCTACGGCGCTCGCTGATGGCAGAATTGCCCGTCTGTTTCTCATCGAGAGCGCTCCACAGCTCCGCGCGCAGGCTGGAGGAGGAGCAGGGCAAGCCAAGTAATAGTGGTGGCAGTGACAATGCTGCAGCGCCCACGACGCCCGGTACGATTGAGTGCACTGCACTGCATTGGGCGCGCCAGCCTCTCCATGGCCTTTTGAACTGACAATGGCGAAGCTCCCACCACACGCAAAGACCGCGCCGAACTCGCCCTCCGCCAAATCACCAACCTCCAAAACCGCCGTGCGGTTACCCACGCCCGCGGTCTCGTCCGAGGCAGCTTTCCCAGCGGTCAGCACATAGCCAAACGAACAGCCCGTCCCGAAGTCGACGAATTGGGCTTCCTCCCAGAAGACGGCGCCTCAAGCACTCAAGGCAGCAATGGCGGCCCTCTTCGAATTACCCGCACTGTATCTGATCCAGCAGCCAACGCCACTGCTCCTCGCACTGCTGCACCCCCCGGCGGTCGAATGGTCCGCGCCCCCTCTCAACTCCGCATAACCCGCAATGCCGGGCGCACAGCTCCAGGCGATGCTCCTCGAGGCCCCAATCTTCGTGGACGCGATGGCGGTGCACCCAAGGGCCGCAGCAAAGGCGGCGACAACGCCCCCAAGCAGCGCGAGAGGAAAGCTGGTGGAGGCGATAGACCGCCCGGCACGACCGTGGCCGAAGTCAATCCCGCTACCACGCTCTCAGACGGCATGGTGCACCACTTGCTGCGGTTGCAGAGAAAGGAGTGGGATCGTGTGCAGTATGAGCCCAAGTATGCGAAGGGCAGCTTTACGGCAAATGAGCTGATACACATGGGAAGAGAGCTGTTCAGGGGGGAGAGCCCCCCAGTCAATATTTTTGGGCCCTTGGAGAAGGCCATTGGTGTTGTGGGCATGCATGGAGCCGAGGCTACCTTGCAGATAAGGAGGGTCAAGGACGGTGATGCGGAGCCTTTTGGTCAGGAGCGGCCCGACGAAGAAGTGGCGACGTCTGCTAAGGAGGCAAGTCAGACACCCGAGGTCGCTGCTGTGAAATGAGCGAGGCCATGGAATCATGTGAACTACTTGTGACTATTGAATTGTACAATCATGAACATGTCTCGTCCTCTCTTTGGAGATGATGATCGCTGAAGCATGTGTCATGTCATGTCATTTTTACATTATGCTATATCTACATGGTGATCATGACACTTGCGTTCTTGTACCAACTCAACAATGGGTTGTCCCCATTCTTGGTACTCGTCTCCGCAATATCCGCTCTGCCTGCCATGAAATCCTCATGCAGATAGGTGCGCGCAAACCGACCCGTGATAGCCGTATACATGGGCTCCATGACCTCAAAGTCAGTAGGAAAGAGGATATCAAAGTAGCCCTGGTGAACCTGAACGACGACAAAAATTAGCCACGACTGTTCCCGCGCATAGAACAGGTAGAGAAACTGGATGCATACCAATGGTGTAGATACGGGTATCATCTGCCTCTGATACCTCGTCTGCACAACAGGCGCATTAATGCCCTCGACGGAATCGCTCAACTTGTGGAAATCACTGCTAATCAGCTTGTGATTGGGGAATTTTTCGTACAGCATGTAGAAGAACTGCATCAACCGCGTGGGTATGTACTCTGGTTGACTCAAGTTGGAATGCCATGGCACCAGACTTCTCAGATTGTGCATCATTGACGAGCCTTGCAGCGGATGTGGGTAATTTTTACATGCTGCATGTCTCCGCTCGAGGAACTGGGTGGCGACGGGGTCTAGCGTGCGTGAGTAGTATTCGAAGAGCTCGCCGCGAGGGTCAATGACGACGTGGGATTGGTAGGGTGCGCCGGTCTCGAAGTCGTATTTGAGTGCGTCGTGGGCGAAGTTGTCAAAGACTTCTAGCGCGAGGAAATAGCAAGGCGAGGAGACGTATTGGTCCCAGTCGAAGATGCTCCGGTTAACAATCTCCACTTTGTCAGAGTGGCCACGTGCGTACGCAGAGTGACCAAGGCCCTTTTGCTGCAGATCTGCGAGCTGACTGGATATCTCAATGATTCTGAACTTGGTCCGCTCGTAGACTTCTGGGTATACATCCCGGATGTAGTCTAGGATGTTCAGCATCATGGTGCCGTTGCCCGCGCCCATTTCATATATGTTCAGGTCGTGGTATGGATAGAAATTGAACTTGTAATCCTCGACAAGATACCGGGCAATGGCTTCACCATAGTAAGGCGAGAAGAGCTCGGTAGGCGTATGCCACAGCTGGCGAAGATCGTTTGGTTCTTGGTAGTCGAGCGCATCTTCGAAGGCTGTGTAGCGATGGCGCAGTTGCTGGAAGAAGTCATGCTCGGATTCCATTTCGTTGAATTTGAACGGGTCACCGGGGGAGAAGATGACGACCTGCTTGGAGAAGTAGCCATAGTTTGGATTATAGAGACTGTCTTCTATAAAGTCCCGTAACAGCATCTTCACTCTCCGCGGTCTCTCTCGCCTGCTCCGCAGCATATCCGCCGTGACCATGGGGTATCTTTCAAATTCCTCTGTCCTCTCATGTGGAAATGTGTTCTTCCTCGGCGTCCATTTGCTCTCTCTCGTTGTCTCGCCCTCACCGAGCCGGGAAGCCTTGCCTCGCCTTTGGAACTGTGGCGCGCGGGCAGCAGCGAGGGCAGGGCGAGCTCCACGTGCCAGGCATTGCGATGCTCGATGCGAGAACAGCTGGCGAAAAAGCTGGGTGGCGAGCGGCGAGTCCATTGGCGCCTGAAACAAACCCTCAGAAGGGATTGCGACACGGTGGGAAGCTGCTGTTCACCACATGTGGGTCAGTTCTGCGGGTGGGCAATGTTCAATGCCAAGCCGCGGGCATTGTCAAGACTCCAAAGACTCCACCCAGGTGGGCAAGCTTTCCTCCGTCCCTGACCCCGGAGTTCGCAGCCACTCCGACAGCCCGATCTGGACTTCAATTGCGCACATGTCTGGCCATGTCTGACTATACTAGGTATCATCTCCTAGGCGCTTTGCTCCTCGGTATAGCACTGAGGGCTGCATATCAGGAGTGGACCAAGGATAAGACACCGAGCGATCAAAGTACAGCAGATTTGCTCAAGCAAAAGAACAATATGCTGTCTAAATTTGCAAAGATAAATCATCTCAAGACATTGAAGACGGTTCCATCAGAAATCGAAAATGATTTTCGGCATGGAGCGGGAAGCATCAGAGAAGGCATTGAAGGCTGCATTGGCGACACTCCCCTTATCAAGATAAAGTCACTGTCGGAATTAACAGGATGCGAAATTCTGGCCAAAGCAGAGGTAGTGCTAATGTTAAATGGACTCAGGCTGATTAGAACTTGACTAAAGTCATGACAGTTTCTCAATGGCGCAGGCAACAGTCCCAAAGACCGAGTTGCTCTAAGCATCATCGAAATGGTATATGCGTACTCTTACGTTGACATTACAATACCTAACAAGATCAGGCTGAGGAGAAAGGCTTGCTAGTGCCACATTCGGGGGATACCATCTACGAAGGTACTGTAGGAAGTACTGGTATCTCACTCGCCGCGATATGCAGAGCGAGAGGATACAAGGCACACATGTGAGTCATCAATGTGATGTGCCTGATCAACCCTTGACCATCAGTAGTTGCATGCCAAACGATATGGCAGTCGAAAAGTCAGATCTCCTTTTGAAGCTCGGCGCAGAGGTGGAAAGAGTACGTCCTGCGCCGATTGTCGACCAAAAGCAGTTCGTCAACCTTGCCCGCACAAGAGCTGCCGAACACACCGCAAGCCCTGAAAAGCCTGGACGTGGACTCTTCGCAGACCAGTTCGAGACTGAAGCGAACTGGCGTGCACACTTCACCGGAACCGGTCCTGAAATCTACGAACAGACTGGTGGCTTCTTAAATGCCTTTGTCAGTGGTGCGGGTACAGGAGGCACCATCTCAGGTGTTGCCATGTATCTAAAGTCGAAGTTGCCCAATGTTCAAGTTGTGCTTGCTGATCCCCCAGGAAGTGGCTTGTTCAACCGCATCAAGTATGGCGTAATGTTTGACCCGAAAGAGAAGGAAGGAACACGGCGGCGACATCAAGTTGATACTATTGTTGAAGGGATCGGTATCAACCGTGTGACGCACAACTTTGAAGTGGGCCGTGAGCTTATTGACGATGCCATCAGAGTGAGTGACGATCAAGCAATCGCCATGGCACATTGGCTGGTCGAACATGACGGAATATTCGTTGGCAGCTCCAGTGCTGTGAATTGTAAGCTCGATACTTCTTTTCTACCTTGCTAGCGCTGACTACTTATAGGCGTGGCCGCCACGAAACTCGCAAAGTCACTTGGGCCTGGGCATCGCATCGTCACAATACTGTGCGATAGGTAAGAGCACTAAATCCATCCGATTGACTGTGCTAATTGTTCATAGTGGGGCGAGACATTTAAGCAAATTCTGGAAGAGCACTGAGCCTGTCGGTGGCGCAGAGAACAGTGTGTCTCTTCAGGCCATTCTCGACGTCTGAGACACACAGTCATCGCTAGTGACTGATCATTTGTTCAAGACCGCGACTCGCATCATCACGGACCTCAGCCAGCCACAACCGCGACTGGTACCAGATTTTGATCACATTCTCAACAGCACATAACGAGCCAGATCTGTGGACAATGACACGCGGATCTTGAAAGATTTGCCAGCGCTGCACAATGTCACTTGAAGCACGCAACCACTATCTTCAACAGGATTGATGGCTACTAAGAGTACTCTTCCGCCATTTCCATAGAAGAAGTGACATTGTACAGAATATCCTACGACCGACGAGAACACAATGGCCACCTGATGAACAGAGACAAAGACGTATGCTTCACAGTCACCACCACAGCGATGTCTTAATATTTGTAACAAAGAGCAAAGCTCCAACAATAGCCGTACTGACACAGGCCTTGTGCGTTTGTGTATCCCTTTATAATATTCCCATGGCCCTCAACCCTGCACTTTGCTGCACATTCCCGAGCTTACTCAACCACAAAATTCATCCGCTTGCCGCAGCAAACTCTTCGCAAAATTCCCCGGTACACTTCCATTTCACACCACGCAAAAAGAGACTAGGCTGAAAAGGCAAGAATCATCATACTTGATGCGTACCCCACGCATGAGCGATACAAACGGAATCAGCAAGAAGACAAGCAAGCGAAAACCAAACCCAACCCAACCCGGCCTCCTCGACCGCAGAATAGCCAAAATGGGCCCTCGCACGCGCAACCCGGCACTCGCCTCCAAAATCGCCGAAATGCGTCTCAAGATCGCCCCAATCGTACATGTCGAAACCGGCATCCGAGCCCCAGACTTCCCCTCCACCATGCTCGACCTCTTTCTCCTCACAGAAGATCAAATCGACGCCCTTGCCCGCTACTACAACCAAACCACCCCAACCTCGCTAACGCACCAATACCCCCAAACCATGAACTGGGACCTCGCCTTCCTCGACAAGGATCCCGCGCTGCCCGAAACATGCAGACTGAGCGAGTTGGAGCGCTTGAAGGTCAAGATGAGAATGTTTGCGCGCTTCATTGGTATGAGAGGGGCTCATACGCCGCACTGGGAGTATGAGCGCCAGATTGAGATTCTGAGAAATAAGATTGCGAGGCGTGTGCGGATGGAGGAGCAAGACGAGGTAAGTTTGAAGAAGTTTTATTGGGGGCCGAGTTCGCGGCCTTGAGGGAGTTTTTCTGTGCTGCAAATTTTTGTCATGGGCAAAGCGAAGATTAGAGTTGGAGTTGATTTAGCGTGCATGGCGGTCTTGAGATGTAGTGCTTATTATGTTTGTTCTAATATGCATTTGCAAGTAGCTGTTGCAGTGAGTGGGCGTGTCTGGATATGAGGACTTGAACTCGTTGCGACGTCTGATGTTGGACAGGTGGGTGGAGTAATTACACATTTTATACAACACTCAAATTATAATCTGCACAACTGCTAAAGTTCACATAAAGGCGGGGTTAGAATAGCTAAAGGAAAAAGAACAGCAAGAAAAAGAGAACAATGTATAAGAATATTACAGAGTCACACAAAACTGCACCCAAAAAAAAAAGAAAAAGAAAACCCGTTAAGGCAGATCTAGTCCTGGTGGGGATCGAACCCACGACATCTGCATAGCATAGATGGCTCATACCTATCCGTCTTGCAACAGAGAAATATAAGAGCAGCGCGCTACCACTGCGCCACAGGACTTTTGAAATCCCTTGGACTAGTGTTTATTGGATTTTTCAAATTAGAGATTATCTATCGCTATGTGAAAAGATGGTCTCGCAGCAGAGGAGGCAAGAGCAAGCTCCGTGTTACAACCAAACTTTTGGAATTTGGGAAGTTTAAGGCAGCGAGTCTTATGGTGAAAGGTGGCAATGTGGTGGCGGGGCGCTAAGGGCGGGGCCAGCGTGAGGGGTGCATTTGCCAGCTATGTTGCACGTGACTTGACAACCGACAGGTCGGAGGTGACACGATCATCTTGGTGCTCTTGACCGCCTCAATAGATTCTACACTGAAAACTGGTATAAAGACGAAAGACCCTTGGTGAGCATAGATCTTCATAATACTCGTAAGTGTCTATCGCCGTACAACGACCTCTCTCTCTCACGGATCAGCTGCCTCAGCACATCAGCTAGCCTGGCATTATGCATACTTTCCGTGGCCATGGTGGCTCATTATGACAGGTTTCCTTCGATTGTCTTCCTAGCTTGGTGGTATAGAGGTTATATACAGAAGATTGTGCTTGTTATGGCTGTCTGATAGCGATTGCTGGAGAGGCGTCAGATGCATTATGTTTACTTTCCTCCCAACCCCGTTTCGGATTCGCGAGACGTTCATTCATTTACATGTAGCCAGTCCAAAAAGGGTTCAAGTATCTGGCCTTGCAAATTTTCGATGCTATAGATGTCACATGTATTCCTTCACTTGCCGTGGACAAGCCAAATCCATAATCTTCTTGCCACAGCTTGCCGCCTGGTCGTCATCTTTCTCTAAGGGCGCAGCCACTACTTCCAGTTTCTCTGCTAACCACTCACAGCAGAATAATCCCACCATGACTATCAGAGCGGCCAGATTTGAGCCCAAAGTGCTCCTCGAAGCTCCACGTCGATCGCAAGGCAATCCGAATTCCAACGCATCCAAAGTACTATACAGTGTCTCAACTTACAGTTTCTCCGAGCATGACAAAAAGTCGGAAATTCGAATCCTAGATGTCGAAACTCAACAAAGCAGCCTAGTCACAGATGACAAGGGGTCAAGCGAAGCCAATTGGTTAGATGACGATACGATTGTACTTTTGAAATCCAACGAGGACGGGACTACTAGTGTTGTCATTGGCGATGCTGGGAATTTCGAGAGCAGGTATGAACTACTGTTGATTTAAGCTGAATCGATAGCTCACAATTCAATAGCAAGCACATTGCCGGTAGTATTGAAGGCCCAGTCGGCGACCTCAAGATCCTCCCTCTCAGCCACCACGAATATGGCTTTATTGTTTCCGGCAAAGCCAAGCCAGACGGCACACTGTATAATCCATCGAAGGCGGAGAAGCCTCCGTCTTCGGGGAAGCTCTACAAATCGGGATTCGTGCGCCATTGGGATCATTTCATTACTGAGAACCGCAATGCATTATGGCTGGGCAAGCTCTCTGAGAATAAGGGCAAGTTGCAGGTTTCTGATCTAACAAACGCACTCAAAGGCTCAAAGTTGGAGAGCCCAATCGAGCCATTTGGCGGCAAAGATCATTTCGACATATCAAAGCATGGACTGGTGTTTACTTCCAAGGATCCTGATCTCAATCCAGCTACGCACACCAAAACGAATATCTATGTAGCAGCATCGCAAAAATTCTGGGACGAGCTGGGTGCCAAGACAGACATGAAGATTGAGAAGGTGACTGTCGATGGCTTCGAAGGCGCAAGTACTAGTCCTTCTTGGTCGAACTCGGGAAACATGATTGCGTTTCTCTCCATGAGGACTGATGGGTACGAGTCAGATAAGAACCAAGCGTTTATTATGCATGATTGGCAGAAGCCGTCGCAGCTGATTCCGCTTTACGCTTCTGAAGATGGCAAAGGGAAATGGGACCGAAGCCCTCAATCGATTGCATGGAGTCCGGACGACTGGACTCTCTACTTCACTGCTGAAGAACACGGACGCGGAAATCTCTACTCAGCTGGGCCTCCGAAACCTGGCGATGACAAGGAGAAACTACCCTCATTGCTTGTCAAAGGCGGTAGTATCACCGCAGTGCAAGTGCTCAAGAATGGCGATATTTTTCTCACCTCTACCAGCTTGATTGAGAACAGTCTCTACTCGCTAGTTCCTCTTACTGAGCGTTCCTGCGCCACAGACACATACACTCTGCCCATCGATGATCGACCATACGATTCGAAGCCAGACAATCTAACAACGAAATACATCTCTTCCAACACGCGTTCAGGATCGATGTTCGGACTCGCACGCCGCCAAATTGACGAGATTCATTGGTCTGGCGCAGCAAAAGACACCTCAGTACACGCCTGGGTAATCAAGCCCAGCAATTTCTCCTCCGATAAAACATATCCACTTGCCTACCTTATCCATGGGGGTCCGCAAGGTGCCTGGACAGATGGTTGGAGCACGCGCTGGAATCCCGCAGTATTTGCGGAACAAGGCTACGTTGTCATCTGTCCAAATCCCACTGGGAGTACCGGCTACGGGCAAGACTTTGTCGATGCTATCAAGGGCCAATGGGGTGGCCTACCTTATGAAGACTTGGTGCTAGGCTTCGATTACATTGAAAAAAACCTGGCCTATGTCGACACCAAGCGTGCTGTTGCCCTTGGTGCATCTTATGGTGGCTACATGATGAACTGGATCCAAGGCCACCCCTTTGGTCGAAAGTTCAAAGCCCTCGTTACGCACGACGGCGTCTTTAGTATGACGGGCCAGATGGCTGGTGAGGAGCTCTACTTTCCCTTCCATGATCTCGAGGGCAACCTATGGGAGAACCCTGAGGGCTGGGCAAAGTGGGACCCAGCACGATTCGTTCAGCACTGGGACACGCCGCATTTGATCATTCATAGCGATCTGGACTACAGGCTAACGATAAGTGAGGGACTGGCTGCATTCAACGTGTTGCAGACGAGAGGTGTAGAGAGCCAGTTCCTAACATTTCCTGATGAGAATCACTGGGTACTCAAACCAGAGAATTCACTTATGTGGCATGAGGTTGTGTTGGATTGGATCAATGAGCATGTGGGACTGGAGAAATACACGGAAAGTCGGAAGAACGAGTGAAGGTATATTCTGGCAATGATACGTCTCTTTTGATGTACAAGAAGTTATTGAATACTGGAATTTGCAAGTTGAAACCAACATAACGTGATTATACACCTTTGACTTGTCTTTCACTTGTGTCATGGAAGAGATGTGCCGAGGCGGAGAGGTTTTTCAAGTCAACGCTAAGTTGATTGACTTATCGATAAGCCAAAATAATTCTCGGGCAAGCTTTAGCACGACCTAGACCATCACAACCACGCGACTCCCAAACCACCAAGTCTGGGGTCTCTGTTATTATAACCTTGTCAAAAGATTCCAGGTCCCTTTGCGACTCTAATCAACTGTATATTGCCCTTGCGCCGGCGCGTTAGAATCCGTTAGCGGCGAAGAGGCGGGGAAGCCAACGGAGCTGTCAAGATGCCCAAGAAAGCAATGTAGGATGCTCTTGCAATGACACGCAAACTTCGCACACTAACAACCTTCTAGTGACTCCCGTATTCCGGCCTTGATCCGTAATGGTGCTCAGGTAGGCTTCACTTCGCCATGCTCACAACCAGCTCAATGTTGACTTGAATCTTTGTAGGAGAAGAAACGAAGCTTCTTCGTCGTTGTCGGCGATCGCCAAAAGGACGTCATTGTGAACTTGTACCACATTCTACTCAACGTAGACGTCAAACTGAACAAATCGGTGCTTTGGGCGTACAAGAACAAGTTGCTGGGTTTCTCGAGGTGCGCAAGGTGAACGAGTTGAATAGCTGGCCAAGGCTAACATCGCTTTGACAGTCACCGAAAGAAGCGCGAGAAGAAGATCAAGAACGAGATCAAGCGAGGCATCCGCGACGTTGATACCGAAGATCCTTTTGAGCTATTCGTCTCAACACAGAACATCCGATATGTTTACTACAAGGAAACGGACAAGATTCTGGGAAACACATACGGCATGTGCATTCTCCAGGACTTCGAAGCACTCACACCGAACCTACTTGCGCGAACGATAGAAACAGTCGAGGGTGGGGGACTTGTCATTCTGCTGCTGAAGGGCATGAGCAGCTTGAAGCAGCTATATACGTTATCCATGGACATTCACTCGAGGTACCGGACGGAAGCGCACAGCGATGTGGTGGCACGATTCAATGAGCGCTTCATTCTGTCCTTGGGCAAATGCGACAGCTGTTTGGTTGTAGATGACGAGTTGAACGTGCTTCCAATCTCTGGTGGGAAACACGTCAAGCAACTTCCGCCACCAGACCCAGAATTGGAAGGAAAGACTCCAAAGGCAAAAGAGCTGGTAGAGATCAAGGACTCATTGGCAGACTCGCCGCCTATAGGCGATCTTATCAAACTCGCGAAGACGGTGGATCAGGCAAAGGCGCTGTTGACGTTTGTGGATGCGATCGTAGAAAAGACACTACGGAGCACTGTGGCATTGACTGCAGCTCGTGGACGAGGAAAGTCTGCAGCATTAGGTGTAGCTGTAGCAGCAGCGGTAGCTCATGGCTACAGTAATATCTTCATTACGTCTCCTAGCCCGGAGAACTTGAAGACCCTCTTCGAGTTCGTTTTGAAAGGGTTCGACGCGCTTGGATACGTGGACCACCAGGATTACAGCATCATGCAATCGACACAGCCCGATCAAAACAAGGTCATTGTACGAATCGACCTCCACCGCCAGCACCGACAGATTATCCAATATATGAAGCCGGAGGACTCACATATTCTAGGACAGGCAGAGCTTTTGGTCATTGACGAGGCTGCGGCGATCCCTCTACCACTTGTGCGCAAGCTGATGGGACCATACTTGGTTTTCATGGCATCCACCATTAACGGTTATGAAGGAACTGGACGGTCGCTCTCGCTGAAACTCATCCAACAACTTCGTGAGCAGTCTCGGGGCAAGTCTACAAACGGTTCTACTCAGGTTGTGGACCGCTCAACCGGAAAGGAGACTAGAGACGGAACCGAGACTTCAATGACCGGCCGCTCACTCCGTGAGATTACACTCTCAGAACCCATCCGTTACGCTCAAGGTGATTCTGTAGAGCGGTGGTTGAACGACCTGCTCTGTCTGGATGCCACCCTTCCTCGGTCGAAGATGACTACTCAAGGATGTCCACACCCTTCCGAGTGCCAGCTTTTCCATGTCAATCGTGATACCCTGTTTTCCTATAATCCGGCAGCGGAAAAGTTTCTCCAGAAGATGATGGCTCTTTACGTCGCAAGTCATTACAAGAACACGCCTAATGACCTTCAACTCATGTCTGATGCGCCCGCGCATCATCTTTTCGTTCTCACAGCGCCTGCAGAGGAGAACAAGCTGCCTGAACCGCTTTGTGTTATCCAGGTAGCGCTCGAAGGCCAGATCAGCAGGGAGAGTGTGTTGAATAGCTTGAGCAGAGGACAACGGGCTGGTGGTGATCTGATTCCATGGATTGTCTCGCAGCAATTTCAAGATGAGAACTTTGCCAGTCTGTCAGGTGCACGTATTGTGCGGATAGCAACGAACCCAGACTACGTCAAGATGGGTTACGGATCACGAGCACTTGAATTACTTGTCGAGTTCTACGACGGCAAGCTGGCAAGCTTGTCAGAGTCAGAGCCACAAGAGATTGAGCAGATGCGAAGAGTAACAGAGGAAGACCTTGAAGATACATCATTGCTCAAAGATGTCGTCAAGGTCAGGGAAGCAAGCGAGATGCCACCACTTTTCGCTCGTCTCCCCGAGCTCAAGGCTCCACGCCTCGACTACGTCGGCGTCTCCTACGGCCTCACTGCACAACTCCACAAATTCTGGAAACGGGCAAATTTTGTACCCGTATATCTTCGACAGACACCTAATGACCTCACAGGTGAGCACACATGCATCATGCTGCGCTCGCTCGAAACCACAACCTCAGATGGCAGCTGGGTCGCCGCCTTCGCCAAGGACTTTCACAAACGCTTCCTCTCCCTCCTCTCCTATCAGTTCCGCAACTTCCCCTCTGTCACCTCGCTCTCGATTGAAGAATCCGCATCAGCAGGCTCCAAGCTAGACGCTGAGCTTGCACCCAAACCCATCACCAAGGCCGAACTCGACGCGCTCTTCACCCCCTTTGATCTCAAGCGTCTCGACTCGTACGCAAATAACATGTTAGACTACCACGTCATCCTCGACATGCTACCCTCGATCGCACATCTCTACTTTACCGGCCGTCTGAGACGGCAGGTCAAGCTCAGCGGTGTGCAGACGGCCCTGCTGCTCGCCATTGGCCTCCAGCGCAAGGAATTCTCAGACGTGGAAAAGGAACTCCATCTCAATTCGAGCCAGCTCATGGCCATGTTTGTCAAGGTGGTGCGCAAAGCCGCAACCGCGTTCCGCAGCATCGTGGAAGGCGCGGTCGAGGAGACGATGCCTGCGCCTATGGACGTGGATGATGCGGGACTGGACGGCGAGGCCGAGCCGGCGGAGAAGAGGTTCAAGCCGCTTGAGAAGGACCTCGAAGAGGAGTTGCAGGAGGGCGGGGACGAGGTGCTCGCCGAAGAACGCGAGAGAGCTAGGAGTCTGATTGATGCTTTGCCTCTACATCGGTATGTCCACTCTCACTCTCCCATTCTCACCCCCTTTCCACGCTCCCCACCAAATCTAATTCGCTAACGCATTCCACAGCTACGAAATCGGGGCCGGTGCCGCAGACTGGGAAGACGCCGAACGCGCCGTCAGCAAGGCTGCAAAGTCTGGCGGAGCTGCCAACGTCACGGTTGCGGTCAAGACGGGCGAGAAGAAGCGGAAAGTGGGCGAGGCAGTCGAGGAGGCGTATAAAGAGGCGGAGAAGTTTAAAGAGGGGGCGGGGAAGAAGAGTAAGAAGGCTAGGGCTCGGAAGTAGGGGGGTATCTGTGGGGGGTTTGGGGAGCTTACATAGTTTAGTTTAGGATCTCAAAGGGCGGGGGATGACGCGTAGCTGGGGAAAACGAAAAGGTGGAAAGATGATTTACTTGAGAAGTTTTTTCTGGGGGGCCATGCATGCCATTTATGGTCGGAGTGCTTTTGTTCAGGGAAGATGTATGCATGCTTGCATGATTGATACCTCCTCTTCTGAACCCCCCAAAAACCAACCATGTAAAGCCCATATCTCACATCGCACTATACACTTTCCAAACCCACGCCTCCACATCACCGTCCCAAATTCCTCAAAATCCTAATCCTAGGCACCATGTCAATCTCGACCCAATAGCCGCGCAACACCCTATATCTCAGCGCCCGCTCCGC